CTTCATTAAGTAAGTCTGTCTGAGAATATTCCAGATCTCAAGAGCGGAAGGTAAGAATATGCAATGTTGACTAACCTCATGAGTCATAGAGTTCCATAACCATGTCATAATAAGAGAGTCTTCATCATCCCAGTCAGCAAATTTTGGATCTATTTTGGCAGGAACAGGTCCTTCAAGAATCGTAATTTTACGACACCCTTTAAAGATGCTACGAACAAGTTGAGACTATTGCAAATAATTCTTCCCATTAAGATGATAATTCTGATGAAGAGGAGGATGGTCATTTGGAGAAAGAATAACCATCGAGCTAGCCATCGAGCGTGTACCAGATGATTGATTGGTTGGAGTATTTTCAACGTTTGACATAATAAGGGCTGAGAAAAAGAAAAACGACCAAAAAAGCAACGAACAACGTCAGTGAACAGTACCAAAAACACTGTAGAAAGATCCTAATCGAGTCAAAATGCCACAATAGTCCCAGATCCAGGTGCGCAAGAAGGAGACGAGATGAGCAAAGGTGGTCCGAGGTGAACCCCCTCCGTCACGCGCTGTCACGAGCCGGAGAACTCCTCGGCTTGTGGGTGTCATGCGCAGAAGAAGGAAACGCGCGTGGAGGCGCGTGTCTGGCCTGCCGAAGCTGGGCTTTTTAGGTGATGGTCGCCCGGAGATTGCGCTCCTGTCTGTGGGTGGTCGGAGTCCAAAAAGTCACTGTAACAGTGCGTAACAGTGAAAAACAGGTCCGATTTACTGTTTCAAGGCTGTGTGGAGATATCGTTGACTAGAAACAGTAGATAAAGAATAGATCAGAGGAAAAAGAAGTCCAATAAGGGTCCTCTCGGTCCAAAAAGATCACTGGAAAAATTTCCCGGTAACTGATAGCGGCAAGAGGCAAACAGAAAAAGGTTTCCGCTCTAACGATGGCAGTTGCGGAAGCAGAGCCCTCAGAATCGAGAGCTCTGATACCAACTTGAATTTAATAATATTGAATTGTATAAAATCTGTACAAGAGTTCTCTATATAAAGAGTACTAAAAGACCTAATGGGCTAAGCCCAAAATAAATTTCTAGAGTATTCTAGCTATTACAAATAAATAAATAAAATACTAATTCTAATATTTACAACACTCCCCCTCAAGCTGAGGAATAGATATTTATCATTCTCAGCTTGCTAGTAAGCTCTTGAAACCTATCATTAGGAAGATCCTTAGTCAAGACATCAGTCAATTGACGACCAGAAGGGATATATGGAGTAGTAATCAGGCCACTATCGAGTTTCTCTTTGATGAAGCGGCGATCAATTTCAATATGTTTGGTTCGATCGTGTTGGACTGGATTGTGGGCTATACAAATGGCTGACTTGTTATCTCAGAGTAACTTCATAGATCTTTCATATCTCACCTTGAGATCATCCAGAGTGATTTTCAACCATAACAACTCACAGATCCCTGAGCCATGGCCCGAAATTCCGCTTCTGCACTTGATCTAGCAACCACATTTTGCTTTTTACTTCTCCATGTTATTAAATTTCGACAGAGGAACATACAATATCCCGAAGTAGATCGTCTGTCAGTCACAGTTCCAGCATAATCGGCATCTGTATAAACCTCTAAGGAGAGTTTTCCTCCTCTCTGGAACAATAACCTTTTAGGTATTGGAGAATCTTGTCCACAGCCCGCAAGTGTTTCTCCCTTGGATCATGCATGAATTGACTAACAACATTGACTGCATAAGCTAGATCAGGTCTAGTATGAGCTAGATATATCAATCTTCCCACTATTCGTTGATACTGTCCTTTGTCAACTGGAGGGCTCTCATTTTCACTTCCTAGTCTGTGATTCTGCTCAATCGGAGTACTGGAAGGTTTGCACCCGAGTTTTCCTGCTTCTTTAAGGAGGTCAAGAACATACTTTCTTTGACATATAAAAATGCCTTGTTTTGAATGAGCAACTTCTATCCCAAGAAAATATCTCAAATTCAATAGTCAGTCTCTTCCTCAAAGCACATTTCTCATCTATATCATCTTCTGTTATGATCATATCATCAACATAAACTAGGAGGATAGTGGTCTTACCTTCTTGAGAATGTTTAAAGAAAAGGGTATCATCTCCTTAACTTTGCTTGTATCCCATTAATAGCATAACTTTGGTAAATCTTCCAAACCAAGCACGCGGGGATTGTTTCAAGCCATACAACGCCTTCTTCAATCTGTAAACTTTATTATCTCCATTTGTAGAGTTAAATCCTGGTGGGATCTCCAGAAAAAGGTTTCCGCTCTAACGGCGGCAATTGCGGAAGCAGAGCTCTCAGAATCGAGAGCTCTGATACCATGTAAAAAACCAATTCAACCCAAAAGCTTAAGCTAGTGGAAGAGGGCTTTTTAATGATTTTATATATCTCAACACATCGTTAAAGCACACACAGTCTTGCAGCAATATATTTGATCAATAGATTGCCTAGTGTTGCTTTGAACTCTAGGTTCCCTATCCTAATTTATACAACAGTCCTTTGGTTTACAAATTCTTGAAGGTTATAGACAAGAGGTTATGGGTCTTTCATGTCCTTGCTAAGGACCAAATTGGAAACACCTTCCCCGAGCCTATGTCAGCTACCCGGTCTGTGAGCTTAGAGACAAACTCATGGTCTTGGAACTAAGGACCTTGAGTTTGCGGGGGTGTATTGGGGAATACATCACATTTGTTCAAATGTGTTCTCTGTGTTAGGGTACTGTGCTATAGTTGCTATGCTATGGTGTGGCAAGACTTAGTAATATGTTACTCCTGTTACAATTCTGTCAGACGGTTACAAGTCATTTAGTCTAGCTGGCTTTCTATTGTTAAGTTACAACAGACTTTAGCTTTCAGTGCAAGCCACATGTATTATATCTATACATAGATCTCTCTGGTTGTGAGAAGATGAGCCTTTCAATTTTATCAGAGTAGATGTCTGTGTTCGCTGTCTTTCTCTCTCTCTATTTTCTCTCAATTTCTTTCACTTTCTCTCATACTCTGTTAGATCAAACTATTAAACAATAGTGTTAAATTTCCCAAACCAAACCCTTGGAGATTGTTTATATCTATAGAGACTTGTTGATATGACAAAAATAGTCCAAAAGATTTCCCGTGAGCAACAAATCTTGGAGGTTGCTTTATATTGACTTCTTCTGACAGATAACCATGGAAAAAATGTGAAATGAGATGATTTTATCGCCTAGGAAAGGTTGGAAAGTGTTGTAAACTACTCCTCTTATGGGAATGACAAACTGTAATTAACATAGCATTGAATATTGTTGGGCTATGATAAGTGGGCCCAAGTCCAGCAATGCAAAGGAGTCCATAGCAGTTAGTTAAAGGAGAGAGAGACTGTTATATGGGGTGATTTGGGTTGGGGTTTACTCATGCATGAATTAAGTCTTTTCTGGAAAGGGAATTGGGAACTCTATGGTGAAGTTGTTCACCTTAGGGGGAGCTGGGTTCTGCGGGTATTAGTCTCAAGTTCTGTGGATATTAGTCTCGACTCTTATTCTGCACTTGTTTACTTCAGAATTGGTAGTTTTTGTTATTAGCATTTGTTTCTTGACAATTGATGCTCTTTTTTGCAAGGAGCTTGTCTCTTTGGTTATTCGAATATACATTTTTGTTTCCATCAGACATACTAAGATTCAATTTAGCATTGGGAACAATAGGATCCTAGGAAATAGTTTGGACTCTTTTGGAAATACTAATTGTGTTTATTATTTTATGCATGTAGAAATTAGAATATTGAGGGCTAATCACTAAAGCAAATAAAATAATAATAATACACTTTCTGTTGATAGAGGTTAGTGGCAAATAGCTACCATAGATAGTAAGAGACGAACAAATGTCATTTTTGCCACTGGAGAAGGCATTCTCGTAATCTAGTCCAAATACCTCGAAACGTGATGGGCCCATAACCGACAGGTCCTGGAATCAAATTAGCCTCTAACGCCATGTTAAGAGATAAAACGAAAGATATTAATGGAATCCATGTCTAATCTACATATAGAAGAGTAGATTATATAACCAAAAGTATTAAATACCATAAAAAATATCGATATCATGGTTTTCCTAATTACATGATTATGACCAGTATATACAATGATACTGGACAACATTTACCTGGTTTCCAACACTAATAACTAGTCTTCGACGTTATCATGTACCTACATCTCCTATTGTTTGTTTTGTAGTTTAGTTACCCGAGATCGTTTATGACATCCTAGCCTCTAGAAATTACATGTCACGGATTCAGTGTGTCTAAAGTGTCTACACAGAATGTGTGTCATGTCCATTGAGAAAACTAGTTCTTTTCGGACCAGAGTCAATAAACAAGCTGTATCTCCTTTTACTCTGGTCCCTCTATAACCTGAAACGATTTCCCTGTACTTGATTCAGAAGGTTTAGTTGCGTCATTCAACATGACTAAATGTGAGGCTGATCATTATGTATTCTTCTGTCCCCACGTAGTCATTGTATTTGCTTGGTTGTTTATGTCAATGACATCATAGCCATATGCAAATGATCAAGCTGGCATCCAGAATCCTAAGTAGTAGTGTCTGTCACACCACTTCCAGACAAAAGATTTGGACTATATCAAATATATTTTTGGGCATTGAAGTTGCTCGATCTAATGCAGGTATTGCCATCAATCAAACAAGTATGCTTTACACATACTTGACGAAGAAACAGGTATGTTGCACTGCTGACCTAACAATAATGGATCCTAATGTCAAACTCTTATTGGGTTAGTGGGAGCCACTAACAGACCCTGGCAGATTAGATATTTATAGTTTGACTTTCTGTGCAACACATTAGTTAGTCTATTTGCTATTAATTTTTAAAAGTTTGTTGGAGCAAAATGAGTTATTATTATTATTATTGTTATTATTATCTTTCTTTCCATTTTGCTTCTTTTTTATTATGATGTTTTATTTTTTGGGTCAATCCTATGAGCTTTCCACTGAGGAAGTTCTTTCTCGTGCAGGGCTATGGAGCACTATACTTAGTTACGGCTTTCCCCGTTATTATTGGTATTTCAGTAGTTTTGATTTTGTTTTACAATTCCCTCCAGTAAGAACTGGAATCCCACTCAAATTCACTGTATAATCTTACATTATATTAAAATGAGTTAGTGTATCATATCACCGTGTTCACCTAACATCATCACAAGGTTGTTAGTCTAACTGCATTACAAAATTCATCTTTACAAGGAAAACCGCTCATAAAAAATAAAATAAAATAAAAGACAAAACAGTTTTTTGTTGCCATTGATAGTTTATTTCGTACGTATCTCTCTCTCTCTCTCTCTCTATATATATATATATATATATACATATATATATATATATGTATATATACAAGCACGTTTGAAGTTTAGTTTGTGATTTGTTTTGTTGTTTGACACGCGTTTTTATCACGTCGTGCATACAATATTTAAATAAATAAAGGATAATTGATCATTATTTCAATTTGTTACTTATCCTTCATGGGAATTCAACATTTTCTTATGTGTAAAATATTTAAATAATCTATATTAGAGAGAGAACATGATCGTCACGACTATGATGTGGATGGTCATGCTGCCATGGTCACATTTGTCATGTTCTAAGCATTTTTTTTTTTTTTTATATATAAGTAGTTAAGTCAGCTACGCTCTCCCATTGTACAAGTCCATGGCAAGTTGAGTTTCTGATATAAAAATCCCTATTATCAGAAAGCATGGCTTCCAAAAAGTAGATAAAATCAACAAAGAAAAAGCATGCATTGCAATGATAGTTGAAGGTGATTTACCTGCAAGAACAATGGACCAACCCAAAATCTCAATCAAGGAGAGCTCACAAAAAGAAAAGCAGATTGTGGAATCTTCTATTAAACATGGGTTTTTTGAGACTGCTGCTTTGGCAGCCATTGATTTGCACTCTCCATCACCACAACCTCCAAAGCCAAAGTTCTTAAGCCTTAGTCTTCCAAATTCAGCAAGCTCGTCACCTTTGTTCACTTCAACTCTGATGAGGAAGAAATCCAAAGGTGGGGGGAGTATAGAATCACCAAGCCATGCTAGTAACTTGATGCTCAAGCATCAAGATCTACTCCAAAAAATACACTTGAGGAGCAAGTCATTTGCCGAAGGAAGAGCCTTTGCACTCTCTGATGAATTTGATGTCTGGTTGGCCAAATCAAGCGTAGTGGAACGTAACATTTATCATGATAGCTTCTCCAAAACTGAAGAAGCTATCAAAGAAAGTCATGTGAATTGCAATGACATTGAAACACTTGAAGATGAGGGGTTTAAATGCAGTGCTCTTTGCCTTTATCTGCCAGGCTTTGCAAAAGCTAAGCCAGTTAAAGCAAGAAAGGAAGGATTAGAAGTGGAAGCTGTAATATCTAGGACAGTTTCTTTGGAAAAGTTTGAATGTGGTAGTTGGTCTTCTTCAGTACTATTCCATGAGATTGAAGGAGGAGACCCCATGAATTCCTTCTTTGATCTGCCAATGGAATTGATCAAATGCAGTGCCAATGATGTACATGCACCTGTTACGTCAGCTTTTGTCTTTGAGAAGGACCTTAAAGGGGTTCTCAAGAATGGTTCCTCTAGAGCTTGTGCTAGAAAATCAGATACTTCACCTCACCGTGTTCGGTTTTCTACATCATCTTCTACATCCCACCCTAGTTTAAGAAAAACCAGAGAGGATTTTAACGCCTTCTTAGAAGCACAAAGTGCATGAGGATGATGGAATCACTCTTATGGAAGGTGGAGTAGTAACACAATAGTCCTAACACTATTTCCGGTCGGTTCTGCCACTTCCAACAAAATCTTTTAGCACGAGCTATATGTTAACTAATTCATTTATAATGGAAAAAGTAGAGCGTGCTTGTGATAAGACTGGTTGCACAAAATATCATCATAATGCAAAAAAGTATATTCAACTATGTAATTTGAGGTATGTACTCTCATGGCAAACGTTTTACTTGATTTTCACTCGTATTTGTGATACATAAGCAAGATATATTATTTTTAAGGAAAAAGTTATTTTAAAGTTATTCTTTTCCTTTAAAGTGAAAAAGTAATGATGTATTCGTTTTGAAATTTTAGTACATTAAAGGTTATATATTGTTGCGACTTCGGCAAGTGCACCGATTGTAAAAATAATAAAGTATACTGAGTACGAGATTGTTCTTACGAGGATTAGAATTTCAATCCCTAATTCGCTATTTACGCTTAAGTTGAACAAATAATAAAGGGAGTTGAATAAAATTTGATCACGGATATTGTATGAAAACCAAACTAAATAACAAAGCAAAAAGATAAAATTTTGAATTACTTGACAATCAAGAAATGCAATTAGGGATTCAACTTTCCCCAATTTTCCCTTTATATTCTGAATTAAAACTTTAATTAATCACCCTTTTTATATTGCCCATCAATTTTCGTAAATTAGTTAAAACTCAATCCCTTGGCATTCTAACCCTTTACTATCTTAAAAGAATCCTAATCCCCTGGTGTTTGTCAAAAAGATTTAAGTATTAATATCAAGAATCATAAAGATGACACAATTCATGTCTATTCCTATAGTCATACAAATTAATAATGAATGAGTCAAACTAAATTCATATGATAACATCCCTATTGTCATATATGAATCCTATTTCATTCTACAAGAACAACTCATAGAAGGTGATGCATTTACAGTTGGCCCATTGTATACGGCCTAACCATTGATTCAAGAAGCCTAGAGTCAACAAGAATTGTGGGCCCAATAAGTATGCCTCAATTGTTGAAAGAAGCAGTTATTTGAAATATAACAAATTACGATTAAATTCAAGTCCCAATAAAGCAACAAATATGATTGTGATCATTTGTTTGGCAAGAAAAGAAAAGCAACACATTTGACGTGATTTGAGATCTAAGATTTGGGACGTGTTTTGAATGATTTATTTATTTTTAGAAGTTAATTATCGTTATATTTATTTTTAGGAATTTTCTTATTTTTAAGATTTTGAATTTTAGATTAATTTGTAATTAGTCTATAAAAGGGTGCTTATGACCCTTATTGTATGAGTTGAATTTTGTTATTTTGATAATTAAAAATTCAGAATCAGAGGGTTACTCTTTTATGAGATCCTAACTTTTTATTTAGCTACTTTTCTATGTGCTTTCAGCATCATTTAATAATGCCGAAGCAGTGCCTCATTGACTAAACAGAAAGAAAGACTGAACACAAGGATTACGAGAAAATACTATTTCTCTTTTCTTAATTTTATTCAACCAAAAATAACCTAATAATAGGGTTCTCTAAACCTTAAATAGACAAAACAGAATAACAAAAAGGTAAATAACTAACAATTATTGAAAAACCCTAAACTATGGAAAAGCTCAATCCAAGTCAGTCAGCTCGGGTGCATCATCCTCCCTCGCTAGGAAAAGATTCGCCCTCGAGTCTGCTTCGTCTTCATTGATATCAACTTCTTCAGGTGGTAACCCAGGTGGCAACTTTTCTTATACAATATCACCAAATTCCCTAATTAATGTTAGGACTTGTGAATACAATTCTTTGATATGCTTAGTATGTTTATGTGCATTCGAACTAAACTGCTTAGAGACTAGAATTAATGCAAGTTCTAAGGAAGTGAGTGGACAAAACCCATAGATTATACCAAAAGAACTATTGCCTGCAGTTTGGTTCAATGATTGAATCTGTGGTTTGTCATAGGAAAACTTTGCTTGATGTAACATCAAGTCCCATTGCCCCTGACGATCTCTAATTAAACTTCTACCAAAAGCTAAATCTTTATCTCCATGGAGCATGAGGTTGTTATACCCGTTGTGCCCAATTTCATTATATTGTTTGCAAACTAAAGACTTCTTGAATGAAGGATCATTCTGCATGACATCTTTGGTGACTATGGACTAGTGTGGACTCTTAGTTGGTATATTATGAACTTTTATGCATTGCACTTGGTCGCATATTGTATGCGATACCTGCTAACTGCGGAACTGCACAACATAAAGGACGTCTAACAGAAATTTTTTCGTAAAAAGGGGAGATATTTTTAACCTTTAATTTTTTTATTTTTTTTATTATTTGCTGTTTTAATTCAATGCATTTCATTCAAATTTTTAATTTTTTAACAATTCCCAGATTTGAACTTTGCTGTCCTCAGCAATGTAGTAAATTAAAGTTAGAAGCAAAGATTAATTCTGTGAAGAAAAACATGGAACATGAATATCTTAAGAGATCAGACTGCTATGCATGTATAACTTCCTGTTAAAAACTTCAAACAATGTTTTTCAGCTTTATCAAGAAATTCAGATCATAACTTGAATGTTCATCACTAGGTAAATATATAACTCTCATCACTCTAGCGTTTGATGGGTTTCACACTCATTCCTTCAGTGTAGTAGTAATTCTATAGGCTTGATCATATTCTCAAGTTCCTAAGATTGAGGAACCCATTTGACATGCATAGACTGATCAAAAGGTCTTTGATAGGTTATAACTTGGCCTGGTTTGGGGGTAAGAATCTTTTGGACAGAGGCTGATTAATTTGTGAGATTGAAATACTGAGATATTTGACAATACTTTCTTCTCAGTCTTTGATTCTGCCACTTTTCATCATTTTGGGATTCTTATTCCCCTTTTCACTGCCTTTTTCTTTCTTTTCCTTGTTTGCATATGTTTTCTTTCTTTTCTCTTTCAAGCTGCATTTTTGTAGACCATTCTTCTTTTTCCTTTTTCAACTTGCTTAACTTTTCTTTTGAGGAGTACCTTGACTTTTTCTTTGATCAGCATTTCAATCTCTTTCAAGGTGTGTCAATGGAGAAATGGTTAAGTAATTTTCATCAGGTTTCTGAATAAACTGGTCTAAGGCTCAAAAGGGATAACAATGGAAAATTCTTTTAGGTAGGCTATTTAGCTCTAAGTTAACATGAATAAATATGTCTTTATCATGTCAGTAATGCATGCAAGCCAGAGAAACAGTTCAAGTTCTAGAAAACTACTACAATGAGGCCTCTCTGGAAAAAAAAATATTTTTGTTTAGGCTCAAATCCTCACATTGTGATTCAAATTAGAATCTAATTTCAAAATTTCACATCAAGCATTATCTAAGAGTTTTAATCAAAACAATTATACAAACGAGCAGTCATCATTCTTAGATTATAAAAACAATTGAATGCTCCACAGATATCATGCTTCTTATAATTCAATCTAATTACTTCCTGAGTAAGCTCTGCAAAATCTAGGAACGCTTGTTCAGGAATTCACTATTTTTGTATTTTTTTAAATTTTCTAAAAAAAATTGAAAATTTGAATGAAATGCATTGAATTAAAACAAAAAATAATAATAAAAAAAATTGAAGGTTAAAAATATCTCCCCATTTTACGGAAAAATTTCTGTTAGACGTCCTCTCTGTTGTGTAGTTCCACAGTTAGCAGGTATCGCATACAATATGCGACCAATTCCCAGATTTAGAACGTTGTTGTCCTCATCAACAAACTAACTAGTCGAGTGAAGCTACTTCTGCACAGGTGGAACACTCACACACTTGTTAAACAGAATAATCGTAAAAGTGAAATGTATAAAAGGGAGACATAATCAAACCATAATCTAAAAAACAACAAAAAGAAAATACTAAAGTCAAGGTAAATGGTGAGAATACTGGCGCTGGCAGCGTGGAGTTCATGCTGTGAGCGCGGATCTCACTGGAACTTTTGGAACTGCGGCGCTACTAGCGCCAAGTTGGTGCTGCTAGCGCCAATTCCCAGATTTAAAATTTTTCCATATGGTCACTAATTCACCAAGTACTTGACATGTTAAAATTAAACTAACTAAGCAAATAAAAAAATAAAATAAAAACAGAAAAACTACTTTTGGGTTGCCTTCCAATTAGCGCTTGTTTAACGTCACGAGCCTGACGTACCCCCTGTGATTACGGTGGTTGAAAGCATGCTAGCATTGATGACCCAGTCTTCTTGATCCAGTATTGTGTCTTTCCAGGATCATATGCACGTGGGTGAGGAGGAGGTTTCTCAGAAACTTTAAGCTTAGGTTTCAATTGTTCTTCCTTGCTCTTGGACTTTTCCATCTTAACCTTTGGCTTGCTTTCCTCATGCCGCTGATGGACTTCCTTCTTGTTCCTTTCCTCAACCTTTTTCTCCGCAATGTAGTTAACTTGGTTTTTAGGTTGAGATGCAGGAATGGAGCTTCATTTGTAAGTACCTTGAATGTTGCTTGCTCTCCATCCACGCGCATTATTAACTCTCCCTTAGGTACATCGATTAGCGCTCCTGAGGTTGCTAGGAATGGTCTCCCGAAGATCATAGGCACACTGGCATCTTCATCAATGTTAAGAATAACAAAATCAACAGGAATTAGAAATTTGTTTACTTTGACTAGCACATCTTCCACAATACCATGTGCTTGCTTTGTTGAGCGGTCGGCCAGTTGAACATTCATCCTCGTTGGCTTTACTTCATCAATTCCCAGCTTTTTCATCAGGGTGAGGGGCATCGCATTTATGCTGGCACCAAGATCGCATAAGACTTTCTCTATGGTCGTCTTGCCGATGGTGCATGGAATACTGAAGCTCCCTGGATCCTTCAACTTGGGAGGCAAGTTTTTCTGTATGATTGCACTGCACTCCTCTGTTAGTGTAATAGGTTCATCCTCTGTGAGCTTCCGTTTCTTAGACAATGTCTCCTTCAGGAACTTTGCATACGAAGGC